ATTGTCAAACGTGGTTTCTAGCTTTTTATCGCTAATGTTCAATTAGATATTACGATGAAAGGGTTAAAAAATGAACGAAGAATGTCTTCGTTTGATGACTAAGAATTTGTAAGTGAAGCGAATTTGCGAATGAAGGTCAGAAGGTCACGATTTAACGATTAAGGATTTATGAACGAATGATTGAGTTTATTATGTATGAATGTTCGAGAGTTCGCGATTTCGTGATCGCGAATTATCCAAGTTGTCAAGTGAAATTATTATTGAAATGATCAAAGGACTTTGAAGGAAACTGCGAGAGGTAATTTACAATTCATGAGGGGACAACTGAAGAAGCTCGAGAAGAATCGACAAGAAATTGTCGGAAGAACAATCGCGTGCTCCCGTAGAAATGATCGAAAACTTCTGAAGGAAGCAATTTGCGGACGATCGACTCTGAATTCTTAATGAAATTGTTGTGTTCTCTCGATCTAGAGATCAAAAAGCTGGTATGAGGTGATTGAAAACGTGCGACAAAGTAATCGAGAATTCGCAATTTAAAATCCGAAGGTTTAGAAATTGGGAATTTGCGGCGTAGAAATTGGAAATTCGTGTAGTAGAAATTAGATATTGTCGGCGTAGAAATGAAGAATTTGCGTTGTTGAAGTTGAGAATTCACGATGTAGAAATTTGGAATTCTTGAAATAGAAATTGAGAATTCAAGACTTAGAAATTAGGAATTCTTGAAATAGAAATTGGAAATTCAGTACTTAGAAATTGGGAATTCCTGTAATAGGAACAGGGCATTCACAAGGTAGAAATTGGGAATTCAAGAGATAGAAATGAAGAATTCGTGACGAAGAAATTAGGAATTTACAACGTAGAAATTGGGAATTCTTGAAATAGAAACAGGGAATTCACGAGGTAGAAATTGGGAATTCAGGAGGTAGACATTGGAAATTCGTGACGAAAAATTTAGGAATTCACAACGTAGAAGTTGAGAATTCACGACATAGAAATTGAGAATTCTTGAAATAGAAATTGAATATTTTTGAAATAGAAATTCGAAATTCAAAAGGTAGGATTTTTTGCGACTTAGATATTGGGAATTCAGAAGGTACAAGTTAGGAGATCGTGACGTAGAAATTCAGAATTGATGACGTAAAATTTCAGCATTTGCAACGTAAAAGTTACTAAATCTAAATATAAGAATTCCAAATCATCACTTTGAAAGATTTGGAAGTAGCTAAATAGGAATCGAAAAACGGTCCGAAAACGGCGATGGAAAAACGATCAGGAACCGGTGGTCACTCTCCACCATCAACTCACCACAATTTTCCGTCGCGGCCTCTGATGGCTCCGAAAAACGAAAAACGTTTTGTGTGTGTGTGTCTTTTGCAGGTCGGCCAAGCCCTTGCCATGCGATGTCGTTGCCGAGCCCCAGACTTCGACATTACAGGTCGAGACGACAAATTAAATATTGCAAAGAGAATTTTTTTCTTATATACGCTGATTACGAGGACAGACATGCGGCTCTATTTTTCTATCTCTTTTTTTTTTTCTTTCTTGCTCTTTAGTCGCTGCGTACGGGGCGCGTTATGAATCCACGGATGGTGATTCGACGTGCAAAATTTACGAAAATGGTAGAATACATTTTTTAAATTAATTTTATTAAAGTACGAGTGATTTGAAGATTTTTTAAATGAAAATCATAGATTTGGCAATGAAAACTATAGATTCTTGCAAAGAATTAATTTATATATTGCAATAAAATAAGGTAAATGTTCAGGTAGACCGCTTCAAATTCGTGTAATATATGCAAAAGACTATAAACGAGGTATTTTTACTGCTTTAATATTTCTACTGTTACAAATGACGCATAAAACAGGACATTTTCTATTATCTTTTAAGATTCATTTTTCTCTCATTTACATATTTTTACTGCTTTAATACCTCTATTTTTGAAAATACGCTAAAACAATATTTTCTGTTACCTCTTAACATTTACTTTTTTTTTAGATATTTTTAATTCTTTAATACTTCTACTCTAAAAAAGTACGCATAAAACAAGGAATTTACTGTTACCTCATAATATTTATTTTCCATTTTTTGGATACTTTTAATACTTTAATACTTCTACTGTTAAAAATTACATACATAACAGGAAGTTTTCTAGTACCTTTCAAGATTTCTTCTTTTTCATCTATTTCAACCGCTTTAATACTTCTACCGTTAAACATAATGCATAAACCAGGAAACTTTCTATTGCCTTTTGACATTTATGTTTCTTCTATTGGTGTATTTTTATTGCTTCAGTACATCTATTGTTAAAAATAATGCATCAAACCGAAAACGTTGTATAACCTTTCAACATTTATTTTTCATTTACATATTGTTACTACGTTAATGCTTCCACTGTTAAAAAGCATGAAACCAGAAATTTTCTATTACCTTTCAATATTTCATTTTCTTTCATAATCAAAGTCTCAGAAGGAACGGAGTGATTCTATATTTTCGCGAAATTTTTCCACGACGAATCGTCCCGTATCATCGACGAGAAAACTTGCCGCGCCCCGTGCGTCGCATAGACCACACGCGTCCCGTGTGCGTACGTATAGTGTTTACGACGTATCATCGAGTTGTTTCACTTTGCATCCACGCTTCTGGAATGACGCTGATCGGCGCTCGCTGGAACACATTTCGACAGCTCTGTAACCACGCCGCTCTGTGTCCTTAGTGCATATAACGTTGTCCCGGAGTGTGCTGCTCCGTTTTAGCGATCGTTTGTGCCGTCGTGAACGTTCACTGGGGCGCAAGCCCGCGCCGGCAAACACCGAAACGTGGTTTTCGCCTCTACGAAATTTGGGGCGGAGGAACGTGTGTTATCCCCCCCATCTATGCGTTCCTCCTTCCAATTTCTATCTTACGTAAATTGTAGAATTATTATTATTATTATCGATGTACAGGGCGTTGATGACAATTTCGAAAGTCTTGTAGTCGAGAAAGTAAGAAGAAAAAGAAAATAGACCTGGAACATATTTGGTCTGAATTGGAAATATTATGAGGTCAAATATAGATTTTGTAAGCTGGTTTTGGTTTATATAGTTTGTATTGTAGAGGTGTGATTAGTTTGATATTGTATGATATTATCAGGCATACAGTTTGATTGAGACTGGTGCATAATGACTTTAAGTAATTATAGTAGTGATGTGAGAAATATGTCGGACATAAGATGTAGTTCTTGAAAGAAAACCTTACATAGTATTGTAAACTAGATTATTTTATCCTATTTTTGAAAGTTGTAATGAAATTTGAAATATTATCAAGTATGAATTTTACCATCTGTTGATAAATAAAATTTTGATCATTTGCCAATTAATTTATGAGTTTTAATATGAGCAACCTATTTCGTGCTTGGTGCATTTCGAATAATAATAATATTTATTAAATAAACGGGATAAGCCCCATTCATAATATAGTTAATATACTTTCAATTGATATTTATTATGCGATGTACAATAGATGAATTTATTATGACGACAATTTCTAACCACAAGTTGACTATGACACACTTCCATAAAGTAATATTTTCAACAAATAGTTTGATTAGATGGATCAAATCAAGATGTATTTTTAACTACAAGTTGACTATGACACACTTTCATAAAGTAATATTTTCAACAAATAGTTTGATTAGATGGATCAAATCAAGTTGTGTCTTATACATATTTCATAGATGAAAAATGGGACTCATGTATTCACATGCGTCAGACACTCGATATTCCGACTTTATACGTATTCAAAGGTTCGAAAAAGTTGTGCATTCGCGAAGAGTATACCGCATAAAGTTTTCTCGTTAACTTCTTGCACAGACTCTCGATCCCGTAGTGACTCTTATCAGCGTCAACACCCTGTACATGAGTACGTCATGCAAACCGGATGACGAATGGTTAAACTTCGTTGTTGTACTGTTAAGTTACAGTAAGACTATTAACGTAGTTTGTTCGAAAGAGGTATATTCATTTTACTCTGTGTATTCCTCAGACGTATTTCTTTTCTCAAGTTTTGTACGATCGTAGAGCTTCAAAGTGGATATCGATGTTTAATTTAACTTTTATTCAGAATATCATTATGAAAGCTGGAAAGTGGTTAAAAATATTCTATTTGCTATTAGGTATATTCAAATTTTTTAATTTTCATTTTTGTACAAAACGTTGGTAAAATACATGATTTTATGCAGCACGTAAGACTTTTTGAATTAATATAAAATGTGTCAGATTCTACAGAGAATATGGAGTAATTTAGCATGAATATCGTTTATTACTATCCGAGTAAGTTAATGTTTTCCTGGTACGTTGGCTATCTTAAAATACACTAAAGAATAACGTTACTCGTTAACTGATAATATTTTCCACTTTTGCAAATAAACAGTATTTATTCGAAAAGAAGGAACTAAAAATTGAGACAAACTGTTGCTCACAATTACATTACCTCGAACAATAACAACAAAAAGATATTTTCATTAATTTTTCTATAGCAAATAAATCGTCCAAACCACGAATGATTAAAACGTTCTAGCAAATCGAATTCGTTCGTCTTCGAACCATATCTTTCCACTAACACAGAGGCCACAGATGAATATTCACTGCAAAGCTCTCGGACGATTCGAAAATTGGAGAGAAAGTAGGACAGAGGAAAATAAACAGACCTCTTTCACCGATCCCCGCGCGATTTGCAACTCGTCCAGCATGGAAGAGATCGTAGCCCGAAGTGTCGTGCAACTAGTAGAGAGTAGCCAAAAAAGGAAACCACGTCTTCGACGAATCCCGGTAGTTTTCACGCGCTAGCGTTGGCATGGCCTGGTTTACACCGTAATTATATATTGTTGAAAAGTGCACCACTTTTTTCCTTAGAAATATAGTTCCCTCCTCTATATTTTTTTTACACCCGTCGATCGAAGGAGAATCGATGGCCCCTTCGTTCTTCGCTTGAATTTACGACCGAGGATTCTCGTTTCCAGGACCATGACAGCGATCTGCTTCGTGTGCAACCTGCCGATCCTGAGCCATCAGGTGGGGCTGGTTTGGGAAGGAGGGAATGGCTGGGATGATTTTATGCGGGAACAGGTGGAGGATGCGACTGCGAAACAACGACTCGGTGAGGAATTTATTAATAATACCAGCCTTTCTTTCTCCATATCACTATCTTTCTTTCGTGCCATTCAGAGTTGGGCAGAATTTTATTTGAATAATACACAGTGAAAAGCAGAAGTATCTAAGGGCGTCGTTCTGAGCTTTAAACAGTTAATGAGATTAAATAATTGTTCGACAAATGTCGACTCATTCATAAAGAAGTATTATTTTATTATAAAAATTGAAATTTCCACGTTTAAATAATTAAAAATGACGAAATACTTTTATCTTTTATTCGTTATTCGAAATTTTTTATCTACGTAATTAGTTTGCCTATCCCTTGCCATTAATTAGTGCTGGGACTGATACGATGCATATCGATGATTAGATTACGGATTTTTATGCAAAATGTTATTTTATGTAATGATTCATAAACACAAGAGCAAATATAGACAATTCTTTCTTCTGATGGGGATTTTACTAGGATCAAAATAAAATAAAAATTCATTACTTTCGATAGATTTTTTTATCCTTTACTGACTTTTATGCATTTATAGCAAATTTTAATGTGCAAAATGTAGTAAAATAAAGACTTCAATGAAAATTAATAATATTTGTATATTATTGTCAACATAATAAAACATCTAGTGTATTAAATAGATTTCTATCTGATTTTTACATTTATAAATTAATGCCTAAAACTGTGATTCATAGTAAATTATAATATGCAAAATGTAGTGACACAAAGACTTCAATAAAACTTAATGATATTTGTACATTATTGTCAGCATAATAACACATCTAAGAAATAGATTTCTATCTGATTCTTACGTTTATAAATCAATGCCTAAAATTGTGATTTTGCATAAACATCCGCAGTCTAGTCATTACACATAAAGACTAACTGTCTAATAATGCCATTCAACGTTATTTGTTGAAGCAGGAACCGGAAGGCGCGACTCCGCGACGCAGATCTCGCCGTCGAACGAGACCCACGAGACATCGCCGACGAAGCAGCGACGTCGACGGTCCAGTTTGGCTCAATTGACGGACATTCTGAGGACTGGATGGAGCGGCGGCGGTGGCGGTGGCAGTGGCGGTGGTGGCGGAGATGCTTCTGGGAAAAGTACCCGTGGGAACAAGCTTTGTCGTCGCGAAACATTGGCGGACATCGCGAAATCGTTTCCATGGTCGAGGCAGACGACGGACGCCAGCCATTTGGAGCGGTTTCGTAAATGTCGCGAAAGCTCCGTGGACAGCGGGATCAGGAGCCAAGCGTCGACGAAATCGCGGAGGGACTCGGTGATCAGCGATCTGAAAAACGACATCGCGAAACTGTGGAGCAAAAAGGACGAGACGCCGCAGCCGCCGCCTAAGGTGATCTCGCCGTCCCCTCGACGAGGTACGGTTGAATTTTTTGTTAGTTTGTTAGCTGGGAGAGAAATTTGTAAAACAAGAATATTTTTAATAATTCTGCATTGCAACAATACCCTAGTAGCAATTACTGTTGGCATTTTGATGGGCATGTGATGCAATATTGGTTGGACAACAGGTAGAATTGTCACCCTTGTTTGCAACTGGGCCAACAATAATACCATCATATGTTTCTTTATACAATAATAAGGTGGATATTTAGGTGATCCCATTTACCTGTGACACTAACAAGGGAAGTTCGGTAACACGAAAATTCCGATTTTTTTGTAAACTTTGCAGGTTTGTAGGGGACCTCAAAAGAAGTATATCGCAATTTTTGTTTTTTGCCCAATTTCAGTTCTTCAGGGTGAAAACATACCTGGAAGGTACATAGGTGTTTCCATATTTCCCTGTATATCTTTAAAACTATCGTAGATATAAAAAAATGGTTATAATAAAAATTGAATGGTTTTAATGCTCTACAAAACGATGTAATTAAACTGATAAAAATTCTTTGTTTAAATAAAAACACCACCCCCCACTTTTATTAATTATCTCCTTTATAGAGCATAAAAAACCATTCAATATTTTTTTACATCTTCGATAGTTTTAAAGATATACAAGGAAATATGGAAACTATGTACCTTCCAGGGATGTTCTCACCCTAAAAAACTGAAATTGAGCAAAAAACAAAAATTGTGCAATACTTGTTTTGAGGTCCCCTACAAACCTGCAAAGTTTAAAAAAAAAATCGGAATTTTCGGGTTACCGAACTTCCTTCGTAAATAGAATAAGCATAGCAGTGGGAAGTAAGAATGCTATAATTCGCGATATAAAGGGTTGAATTATGCGAAAGGATCTCAAGGTGCTTCGTTTGAAATTTGGGAATGTTTTAGGTTCCGGGGAGTCGAGGAACTCCAGACGTGGTTCCGGCGAGAGTGGACGATCCAGAAGAGATTCCGTGATCACGGGACAGACCCCGAGTCCAGGTGAACGGAAGCATAACTGCCGGCACCATAGACGCAGACAGTCGCAACAGTCGATGGACGGGGGTAGTATCATCACGCCGCCGAAGTATGATAGACACAATCAACGACCGAGTGCTTCTAGCACCGATAGCGCGGCCAGCAACGCTGTCAGGTAGGTAATAGCGCAACAATTGGGTACGGCCCTGTAATTTCGACCATGGTTTTGCATAATAACCCTATAGTCGGCTGAAACTCACTTCTGTAATCAGTGAGTATAAATAGGTGCTGTAGGATGTAATGGGATGTTATAGCGACATTCTGTAGAAAACGCAAAAATATTCCGTTGAACGTAATAGAATTGTTTGATGAAGACAGGTTTTATTTAGATTTAAGAATCGGTTATCAGACCTTAACGGTTCGATTGATTTCTACTGTTTGTGGTATATACAGGGTGTAATAAAAGTCTTGTAGGTCCCTGAAATGGATCACTTGTGAGGTGATTTGGAAGAAATTTTTTTCTTAGGAAAAATGTTATCCGAGGCTCTTTTAATGAGATATTAACGTAAAACCTCGGTGAATCAGTTTTGTCGGCAGACTGAACCTAGAAAGCAACAAATATTCTTTCAAATCCTAATTTTGAAACTTTGAAAGTTTTTTTTCTTAGTGGTTGCATGTCTAAAGAATAACAACAATTAAAAATTTATGCTGATAATAAAATAAAATTTTATTTAATATTGTAGTAAATAGCTATTCAGTATATGATATTATAGTTTGCTCGATTATTTCACTACTTTCCTGCTTCTACAATATTAACTATAAAGTTTATAATTATAGTTATAATTTATAGTTAACTTCGTCAACTTGAAACTCAGTTTTTCCAGTTTAGAAGCTAGTAGAGCTACAACAATTATAAAATATCCAAAAAATTGTCAGTTGCCACTCACATGCCAAACTGTCGCGTCATCGGCCACTAAAAATTGACAGTCACGTGAAGTCACTGTGGCAGCATCGATCCTTATAATGTTAACACTAGAACAACCGACGATTACATGTATCGATTTCTACCGGATCGATTAACATGACAAACTTTTGAAAATATACAAATTTTTTCACTTTCATATTTCAACAGAAATTCTAAAAGTACTCGGAAACTGCATTGCTATAACATTTCAATGACCGTTATAAGAGTGTACTAACCAGCCATTGTGACTGCTTTGGTACTTCCAATGTTAATATAAAGGACTCTTAAAAATTTCGTTCAAGTAGTAAAAATTTGTTGGTGCAGAGACCACATGGAGGCCAGGAACTCGATGGAAAAAAGCGACCGATCGAGCAGCATCGATAAGCCTAGCCTGATGGTGGACACAAAGGCGCTAACGCCGACGACGACCACTACTACCATCACCACGACGTCCATGATCGACGGCAAGACGCCCGTTACAACGTCCATCGATTCGAAAACGTCGACGACGACGAGCACCACGACGACGTCCACGTCCACAGCGACCTTGTTGACCGTGGACGCGAGAACTGGCGGGGACAGCAGAAATCTTAGCCTGGACGCGTCCATCACACCTCCTACTATTGTAATGTCGTCGGTTACGCCTCCGTCAGTTTCACCGACGACCGGACGAAGCCTACCGCTTCCGGCACCTTCCACTTCCGGCAGCTCCAGTCCCCTTGGCTCGCCGAACGTTCACACGCCAACGCATCCGCTGATAAGCACTAGGAGGGACTCTACTACACAGGTGGAGTATCGAGCAATCTTGACCTTTGTATCGACCTACTGAAGTCTGTGAAACGTTGTATTTTGTTTTTATTTTAGCCACAAAATTATGTAGGTGAAAGTAGTTTACGTTGTATGAATTGGGGAGGCAAGTTGTATGATGGCAGTAGTAGAGGTGTGTGAATGATCAGACGTGGAGAGAAAGTTTGATGGAGAACTTGTATTGTGGTTTTATTATATTCATAGGAGCATCTAGATGAGAGTAGTTTATGTTACAAGAACTGGTGGGGCTGAGTAGTAAGGAGGTGGCAGTAGTAGAAGTACGTGTGATGTCAGACGTGAACAGAAACTGGGATAAGATGACTTGAATGTAAAGCTTGTATTCTATTTTTATTATTAGCATATGAGCATCAACATGAGAATAGTTTAAATTACACGAATTGAGGAGGTAGGTTTTATGGAAATATCAGTAGTAGAAGTATGTGAATGTTCAGACGTGGACAGAATCATGGATAAGATAACTTGAATTTAAAATTTGTATTCTGTTTTTATTATAATCATGCGATCATGTATATGAAAGTAGTTTAAGTTATACGAATTGAGGAGACAGATTGTAAGGAGGTAACAGTAGTAAAAGTACGTGTAATGTCAGGCGAGGGCAGGAATGATAACACAGAGGACTGTGAAGGTTTATACAGATCTGGATTTTCATAGATTATTCTGTGGGGAATAGACTGGAAAGGTTTACTTAACTAAATTGAATGTTTACTAAATTAACAATAATTCATAGTTTTTGTTATACTGTATTTTATACGGGGGATAAAGTTTTACATATCATAAGGGACATGAAATGACCAAAATTTATGGTCCTTCATCGATTATTACCAAATTCAAATTTATGACAGAAGAAATTAACATTTACAATACTTTTAAACCATGAATCGAAACTGTAGGAGTCCATACAGTCAGACGTTATGATATATTATTATTATTTCAAGAATACATGAGAGAGTGTAAATCTAAACAATTGCAATATTACGTTCTATACAGTCGCCCACAAATAAAAGTAGTAAATGTATAATGAGATCTATGTGATCAGACATAATACGTATATATTCAATTAACAGTAGATTGATTTTATTGCAGTGTTATTACAAAGGAAAGAAAGCGTACACGAGCAAATTATCAAGATTAACGCGTCAATCAGCGGCCATAGACGAATCGATGCCACCTGCAGGACGTCGCGGGAGTCAGCCGACTTTATCACCGGATCCTGATGAAGGAGGTACAACTATTAATTTCAACCACTATACATTATACCCAAATTGCGAATCTCTACGCAAATACAAATTTTTTCAAAGAGAAATAAAAAATTTGCTTATTCAACTATTCGTTGGATCAGATTGCAATCAAAATACAAAATTCATTTGAAAGTGTTACACGATCATGAATATGCAGTAAATACATAAAATTCACTGTCTAAGTATAACAACTGAACACTCAAATTCACTGTTAAGTAGATAAATTCACTTGTCATAAATATGAATGTGCAAAACGCAACACAATAGTAAATTTTCGTAAAGATTAGCGTAAATTTTACTTCGAACCTAACGAAACCATTAATAAAGGAGACAAATCTCTGAGATAATCTCAGTTTAATAAATAAATCTATAAAAATTTGAATTTGCATAAAGATCCGCACTCTCTCTACCGGTTAAGTATTCAACTACCTATTTTTAAAAACATATCACCAGTTATTTTTCTACTTTCTATGCGCACGTTATCGCTTTTCTGTGTGTAATTTTGAAAATGAGATTTCTTTTTATTCGTTTGAAGAACGAAGAGCTCGACGGGACTCGCTGAGCCCTGATTCGGCCTGCTCACCGAGGCGGCGCGATTCGAGGAGCCATCTGAGCCCGGACAGGAACGTCGATAAAAGAGATCTCAGTCCTATCAGGTCGCAGAAGCACCAGCTGAGACGGCAGTCGACGTCGATGGCCGGTCGGCCAGCAAGGTATCTGCCTTCTATCGATTTTTTACACGGTGTACACCGACTCGAACCACAATTGCTCCGATGATATAGACCTGTTTAAAATCTATGTTCATTGTTCGACTGCGGATGTTTACGCAAACATACAATTTTGAGGCACTAATATGTAAAGGACAAAATTGCACAGAATTCCTGTACTAGGGTTTTCAATATGTTAGTAATAATACATAAATGCTGTTATGTTTTACTAGAATTATTATTTTTATACGTTTTGCAATTTGGGGGCGCTATACATGCATAACAGTGTATTCATTACAGTAAATCATCGATGAGTGTTCGAAAGCTCCTCGGCACTGAACATTAAATATTTCATAAACTAATGACCGTATGTGACTAAAACAAATATCATTGGCTTCGGAATTTCAAGCTCTATCACTGTGCTAAACTTTGTTAAAAAGTCAACGTTACACCTGGGGACCTATTAAACTTGGATCTCATGGATGATTTACTGTATATTGTATATAACAGAGAACACTTTGGAAACGTATAATAAACCCAGACAATAATAAATGTTAATACAAGTCGAAATGATAAATGGAACTGTTGAGGTGTTAATACCAGGTGATTCGAAAAGAATCGAATATTTCGAAGAAATTTTCACGTACACCTGGTAACTCAGTTTATGTACCTTCAGACTTATAGCATGAGAATTTATTTTGAAATTAAAATGTTATATTTACGAATTCAGTGTGGAAATTGTTGATAATTGATAAATGAAAAATTTCTCCAAATATAAGACTGTTTTTGGGTCATCTGTTTAAAAGGGCAAAAGGATGTTTCACGGTATAAAGCTAATGTGTTCCTTCCCCGGTCTGCTAGTAGGGCTAGAAATGGAGTACCTAGAAAAAAGATTTTATATAAAAAGATGATCAAAGGAAAAGATCATAAAAAGATGTTTTGTATCCAGAAAAAGGAACTATACCTAGTCAAAAGAATTATTTTAGTGTTTTCTGTCGGATATGTAGCTTAAAATTGTATTTTTCATCTATTAATTATAACAAACGTCAAACTTAAATTTAAATCAACTTAATTCAAGTCAACTTAAATTACGTTCAACTAAAATTTAATAAGGATTTTAGAATTACCATTTCCCTCATAACATCCAAGAATTACAATTAACGAAGAAAGACGTAATTACTCAATTATCTGTAAGGGTTGTTACAGAATCTATTCGAAATGTTTCAAGGTTTTCCTCGATTCGAGGTATTGTCAGATTCTATTTCTGGAAGACTGACTATAAATTTTTCGTTTCAGATCGCCGGACAGCTCCTCCTGTTCCTCGAGGGAGCCGAGTCCGTGTGCTCGAGCTCCTGGAAGCATCCAGCAAGCGCCGATCACGAGAAGACAGTCGATGACCGGCGAAATCCTGATGTCGTGTGGTTTCCGGCGGCAGAGCACAACGGAGGAAATGATACGGTGCCGAAATTTTCGAAAGCAGAGCTCCCAAAGCGACGAGGCGGTCAGTTTCGAACAGTAAAATGGATTACTACATCTATTGAATGTACCAATGAGAAATCCATTGAAAAATAATTTAATTTTAATCTATAATATTGTTATAGAAGATTATATTTCGATAGGTATTATATTTTTAGGTATTTGTTTTTAGTATCCAACGTATTTAAATATCAAGTTTACTTTTTGTATATTTTTAATTTCTTAAGAACAAATTATTTCAAAATTTGATATTAATTTTATTTAAAGTGATACAAACGTGAAGGGGAAGTGAGAAAAATTTCAGTTCGCGATATCTTTTCGATGTTTTGTTTTATTAACATAGGGTAGGATATTGGAAAGATATTAGTGAATATTGTCGAGGTGACATAAATGCTTCCTGTTGTCTCGAAATGAATAGAAAATTTTATAAAAATAATGGATTCTTCATTGGTGTATGTAACTGTGAATATTAGTGAATATTGTATCATAATTTCTGCGGGATTCTGTTAGGTGCAGAGATATAAAGGACGAAGGGACAGCTCGGCACAGATCACCGATGGCACGTTCGCGTCGATGACGGTCGAGACTTCGAGTACACTTTTCGATAGCAGTACGCAAACTGGTGAGTCCATACATTCCATGATTATTTTCAATACGTTCGACCGATCGTTAGGGCCTTCGACGTGTGGAAAGGAACGTAAGGTATCATGAGTATCATTGTCTAAAATTAATTTTTGTGATAAGGATCAAATATAGGATATATTGTTTGGAAGTTACCAGAGGAAGTGGTCGGTGGAATTTAATTTCGTTTAAATGTGAATTGAAATTTTCTTCTGTACCGACGATCTTTTATTATCATTTGAATTTCGCACTGAATGCGTTCATGTTTTATCGACGGACGATGCAATCGGTGTTTGTAACATTCGACGCTAAACTTTTGCAATTTCAATTTGTAGAATTCAGGGATCATGGATCACCTGATGGTTTTCTATGCGTTTTTGTTAAGAAAATGGAGATGATTACTTCGCCTTTTCATATAAATTCCAGAGTATACTAAAATCTTTATTTCAGAAAAAACTATCACCGACAATGCTGCAAATTGAACATAAATTAACACTTACTTTAGAAATTATTAAATTGATACATACTTCAAATTTATTATTTTTATCAAAATCATATTAAATAGACGATATTTCTTTGACGACATTTTTATTCATCAAGCTTCATAATGAGCTAAATACTTATCATCATTAAACCAAGAAATACATTACGTATATTTACAGCAAATGTTCACGATCAATATTTCATTCGTGAATTGATTCAGGAAGCATAAAGCTGTAAAACCAAATATTCAAATGTCAACAGTAATCAGAACTTCATTCATGCATGCTTCAGAATCAATCAGAAATTACCTTAACACCCCAACAGTTCATTTTTCAAGAATTCTGTGTTTATCAAATCTGCATCGTAACGATTTGGACGCGAGGGTCTTCTTTTTCACAGCCATCAAAACATAAGGACCTTCTATTCACTACAAGAATTTCATCGTAAAGATTTACACACGGGATCCTTTCTTCGTAAAGATCCAAATACAAACATCATTTCCTCACAAAAATTCAAACATAAGAATCCTTCTTTTTAAAAGAATTCCAATCACAAGCATCCTTCTTCCATGTTCAATAAAACCTTGAAACCAATTCATCCAAACGTCTCAAAAGTACAGGGGGTTTAAAAAAAATGTTCCCACGTGCACTGCCGGCAAAAAGTTTTCGATCACTTCGATTCTTATAACGAACACGTGAATTAATGAAATTACAACATATTTATAATTCTAGTGGAATACTGACACATTTTATTAAGTAAATGACAATAAATTTTACTCTGTGCGTTTATTAAACAGAATAATTGTAAAGATAATGTGAATTGCTGTTAGATACTCAGGGATCAAAAATAACAGTGATCACAAAAATTTGTATGAAAAAAATCAGTAGCAGAAACTTGTCTATTATTTAAGTTAAATATATTAATCACCAAATATCAAGAAAATTTTTAAAAACCTCATGGTTCAAAAATTTCGATTTATAAACGTTTAGGTTACAAATAACGATTATATGTGACGAAAATTTTTTTCGTTGCCGATTGCCATTATTGATAAGACGAATTCTATTTCGGTTGCTCTTAACAGTTGCTAGTGAGGAAAACTCTGTCCCGGTCATTCGTACAATTATTGTGATCGAAGTACTGAATAACTTTTGTGCGAATTTTATATTTGTTGTTAGTATAATACTTGTTAGTAATAAAATATAAATTTGGTTGATTAAATACAATCAAAACATTATTTTCGTCATCGATAACTATTATGTGAGATTGAAATACAATTTCTCTCATCGATAACGGTTATCAGCAACGAAAAAAATTTTTTAGTCACTTACAATTATTATCTCTAATCCAAAGAACATTTTAGTCGAAAAAATGATTATGACCCTGTGACTGTTTCATTTTGGTTGCAACAGTTCTGGTCCCTATTAAAGAACATTTTCAAACATTACGTATCACATACAGTGAAGATTGTTATTATAACAACAGCCAACCTGTACTGGTCCCAAAAATTTAATAGTCGTCTTCAGTAAAGCTAGATACCTCATCTACTCCAAAATGGGACAAAAGAGTGACCTTCATATAACTACCCTAATTGAGACTTAATTTGTTTAAACTACCACGAACAGTCATAAAACCCAAGGAAAAATATACGCAGAATACCATAGTAACGAATGAAACTGGTTTTACAATAACTATTTTAGAACATTCCCGACGTATTAAGGAGCAGATTTGCAAAAGCCGATGCTGGTCAGAAATGTTTCGCCGGCAGTGTACATATTTCCTTCTATTCCCCTAAAAACGTCACATCCATACAAACGGTAACATTTCCTCCAAACATCCTGTAACGACCGAATTATCACCTGACCGATAAAATATCTAACCATCGGAATCAAACCGCGCGGTTCACGTTTTCAAATCGAACCGCACGGCATGCGCCTTAGCAACGGGTTCACCGCGATCAGCCGGCGTCCCGACGCCGTTCAGCGTCTCCTCGGACGCAGGCGTGGTGTCAGTCGCTGTAGTTCCGACCGAGCGTCCTGTCCGAGCAAGGACCTCCTTGAAACCAGGACTCTGAACAGTAAACCCAGGCAGACCAATGAAGTCCATTAGAAGTCGGTGATCGTGGATGATCCCCTTCGATGTCCTGATCGAGGATCGAACTGGTGTATCCTGTAAGAATCCTGTCAATTGAACAATCATCCAGAAGGATCACCTAGGATCCTGAAGCTTAGGACACCACAAGACGTCCTAAAGAAAAGTGACCGCGTGTCCGACAGTCAGGTGTCTCTAGAGAATCACCTGTTCTCGTGTGTCTCTGTTTACCTCCACGAATCGATCCAGAGACAGGACACCACCGTCCGAAGCTCGTCCTGTCGATTCTGGGAGGAGGATCCCAGCTGCTTTATGATCGTCATCTGCACTTTCAAGTGTTTTCATTAATAGGACCGCGTGTGTATACGCGGGGCTGGTTGTCTTAGGGGTCGCGTGACCGTGGCGTAGATTGCAACCTTGGGATCCTTTTGGCCGATGTTTACACAACTGGAGCTCGTGTCCTTCGTGGAACCGACCGCGTTCGACGTTGACAGGACGTCGCAACCACTTGTGGCGGTGACCGTGTGCCGAACAACAACTCGATAACCCGGTTCCCCGAGCAGTTGGAAGCCGGCCAAGGCCTCGTGTGTCTCCGGTTCAGTCGGTGGTGGTGTGCTCGCGATCGAGGATCCTCGATGCGATCCTTTGGCTCGCGTGGTGCCGCGTGTGATCGGACATTACACATTGTTGTGCTGAACGGCCGTGGTACGCGGTGCTCCGGAACTGTGACATGTGACGCGCGGGGTGGTGGACCGGTGATACGTGGGAAACGGGACTCGTTGGCCTGATGAGGGATTCTGTTACCTGGCTAGCGACGGGACGAGGTTGCCTGAGTTTCAGCTACGGTGTCACAGGTATGACCGTTCCAGTTGATTGTCGGCTGTTGAGTGCTCGATATCTGAAGATTTCTATCATTGGCAGAAAGTGTTTGATCAAAGTGAGTAGGCAGCTTTAGTTAAAAGTATTTGAGTATTCGAATATTGAGAATTTTAGTGCTGAGTATTTAAGTTATTAAGTGTTCGTGTATTCGATTATTCGAGTATTCGAGCAGTTTATTACTGAGTATTCGAGTATTAAGTATTCCAGTATTGAGTATTCGAGCATTTGAGTATTCGAGCCTTTAAGTATTCGAGCATTTGAGTATTCGAGCCTTTAAGTATTCAAGCATTTAAGTATTCGAGCCTTTAAGTATTCAAGCATTTAAGTATTCGAGTATTTGAGTATTCGAGCTTTGTGTATTCGCGTATTTCAGCATTCGAATATTCGAGTATGCGAGTATTCAAGTATTCGCGTATTTAAGGATCAAATAATGTATTCGCAAATACTAGACGAAGTAGATCAAAAGAATTATCTGTCTGTACGTGAAATTTTGATATCAAAATACGTATTTTTATTTGTTTTCGAATACTGTAGAATGACAAAGTGAAACAATGATCGTGAGAGGTGTTCAATTATTTCCAAACATTGAAGAAAGTTTCTGATCGCAAGATTGAAGTATTATCATTACTTTATTTGGAAAGTTCCGATAAATTCTATTTTTATTGGGATTTCTTTTATTGGGGAAGTTCGGAACGTTTTAATATTTCACAGAATTATTTATATAGTTCCTTATATTCCTTACATTCCGTTTGAATATTATATTCGTTCACGTTTAACACACAGATAAATAATCTTAATATTATCATTTATTAAATAACTCGGCCAAGTTCCATGAGTGTACATAAATATATATAGTGAATTGTAAGCAATATTCATTAGATGTTGATATTTCCTTTAAACATAATCGAGTATATAGGCAACAGTAGGTACTTTCTTTAATACATACGTAAATAATTGCTGCAACGATATTTATCTTCATGTTCGAATACTTTCTGCCAAGGGTAGTACAATGGAAAAGGGACGAGGGTCTATTTTTTGCCAAATCTGCTATATGAATACATATCGATGTACTTCTCATTGTAGAATTTATTCTTGTATTTAGAAACGGAACAAAAGAGATGAGGGTTCCAAGTTATGGCCGTTTAAATAATACAGAGAAAAAAAATGAGGGTGTCAGGTGTTTGTATGGAAAAAGGATGAGAGCGTGTGTTATACAGTGTCCTTTGTGTTACGTTAATTCAGTTTCTAAAGTAACTGTTCATTAATTCGATAACTTACTTAAAATAGAATTTCGTTTCACTCAAAATAATATTTAGTGTACACTCATCCTTATTCCTACATTCTCCTCATTTATCGAGTGGTTTTTCTTAAGAAAGAGGGTAGTTTATGGAATGTGTTCCTATAACTATCATCGTCATCATTTTATGTTCTACTCCCGTGGAATCGTCAATTTCGATGATATTATAGTTACAAATCACGGGTATAAACGTAGAAGTCGCAAAACACAGACGCTTATCATCCGAGGATCCAGCCGCGAGTATTTTCATCGCG